TTTCAAACTGCTAAAACTTTTTATACAAGAGGTTTTTCAAAAAACTGACCGATAATTTTTATAGAGCATATTTAGCTTTATAAAATCACCGGCCAGTTTTTTGAAAAACCTCTTGTATAAAAAGTTTCAGTAGTTTGAAAAATTGAAACAAAGTCACGTGATTGGCGATTATAGATTGCCTGCAGCATAGTTTCAAAATATTTTAAAAGTTTTAAATAGTTTTGAACATGCCCAAAACTGTCCAATTCCCGGCACTACTATACTGTATACCATATTGTCTAAATTTTGTTACAGTTTATCAGAACTTAATATTGTGAATAAACCGCATAATAGTAAAATTATTTTTAGATAAACTTGAAAACTAGTTTTGCAAATTCAAAAGCATAAACATACAAGTCGTGCAAAAAAAAAATGAATATTTGGTTGTCTGGATCCTAACAAGGAACAAATATTATCGTCATTTCGATATTGCTAACAATCAGGGCCATGATTTACATAGTCCCGAAAGATCTCATTTATTTTTATAAAATGTGTTAATCAGTCTATATAGACAAATTAAATGCATAAAGCTTTTCTACATTATTGTTGCATTATTTTATTGAAATGATTATATTGAACGAGAATCAATTAAAAAATTGTTAACGACGATACTTTTTGCTCTTTCCACGATCGTCTTCGGATTCATCACCACGGTTTGTTCCGTGTTTGCGTTCGTCAGCTTCAATTAAAAATATATAATGTAAATATAAGGTATATACAGAAGATGATAACATGTACACATACCCCTGCGAGCCTTTTCTTCATGCTCATCCCAATCTGGGGCTGATTCATCACTTTCCTCAGATTCTGAACCAGAAGAAACATCGGATGCATCTTCATCAAGACTACTGTCGTCACTCTAAATTTCGTTTAATAATTATGAATAAATAATTATGAATAATAAAATCTTTATAGAAAGAATTAAACCATAATACTTACAGAACTTTCCTCATAAGAATCCTCACTTTGCATGTATTCACTTGCAGAGTCCGAAGATGCAGCAGAATCTTCGTTCTATAAAAGTGCGTGTTAATTTCTTTTAAATAATCATATATAATAATATTATCTCTTTAATTACCTCATTGTGTAATTTTAAAAATGACCACCCTCCCTGTTCGAAAAAATCGGCTGGATCCGAATTGATCGTTTTCATGATTTGAGCCCAATTTAAATTTTGGGGGCCTTCGTAAAAGTTTATATCCACAGAGCTAAAATGGTTATAAAGTTAGCAATCTTCTGAATAAACATTAATGTTAATATTAGGGACATACGCACTCTAACCAATCTTTAACATTTTCTAGTTTGTTCATTGGGATAGTGTTTATATGAACAGGAGGACGAGAATATTCTTTAAAAATAAACACAAGATCGAAATTTTTTAATCCAAACTAGAAAAAGATGCAAAAAGTATGCTATTAGAAATGAACCAATATATGAATTCCATGTCGTGCCATTTTATATTAGGATTAACAACCTGAACTCGTTCTAGATGTGCGATTTCGATGTCTGCTAGTGGTACTACCAAGAATGGTGGATCCGTAAGATGAACAAGACATTCAGTTGTGGGTTGTAACAGAACATTAGTTCTGAAAGGAACGCCTTGAAAGCCAATTTCACGGAATGGAATATCGACTTCAACACTCCCTTCGCTCTAAAGGAAAAAAAGTTGGTATAATTTGTTGTAGCAAAATTGATTTCAATGAGTACGCTCTCACCAATTCTGCGATCTTTTCGGCAAAATTCTTGAATTCTTTGTTTAGCAATGTTCTTCTACGCCGTTCCTCTTGTTCGGCCCCAAGCTCATCTTCATCACCATAACGATATTTCCGCTTTCGATTGCCTGTTTCATCAAATTGAACATCTGACGCTTCACGGTAAAACTGTATGTCCTGTTCAGGTTTTTAAAGATAATTAATGACTCTATATGAAGTTATGCAGATGTTATGTATACCAACCTTGGTCTTTTTCTTGCCATGAATGATAGGATTATTAAGGTGTATATGCAATAGTACAATAAGCTCATTGTCACATGGTTGGAAGAACAAGTGTTTAATATTGCTAAACAAAATATCTATTTCGGAATATTAATGAGAAATGTTTATCCTTGCATTTACCGAAATATAAAAAAAAATCTTTACCTAATTTTTGGGTGGTACGGTGTGAATGATACCTTAATCCGTTTTCGTGAATCTCGAGTTCACCAGGAACGCGCTTTCCTTCTAGACCGGGTCGTACAAACACGTCCGATAAACGGTGTGTAGGCCTCCGACCTGCTGGAAGTTTATTATCTATATTTAATGAATGCGTCATCATTATATAAGAGCGATCGTACGATTACCTTTCATCTCAACCAGCTTCCCTTGATCTACCAAATCTTCCCTCTCCTTCCTTTCGGTCTCTCTGTAAACAAATCACTTTAAGTTAGAATTATTATAACCATTTATCTTAAACATTAGCAACTTGTTGAGAAAAAATAAGGACGTAACCTTTTGGCAGCTGCTTTTTTGAGTTCAATAATTTTTTTATAAATCTCAGATAGTAATGGATCTGTACTTCGATAGGTGAATGCCCTAATAAAGTTTGCATTCGGATCATCAAAAGGCTAATCATTATTAATAAATAAGATGGATAATTAAGTATAAATAGTTGTTAAAATTTTGATCCCTGTATCAATACAATAATATAAAAGTACCAACATTATCTTCCTTTTTTCCTGTCGCCTGACCGGGTGTCATAAAATTTAAACGCAGATAAACGTATTCTCCTTCTTCTGACTTGTTCACATTTTTCAATGTAGATATATGGAAAGGGACTGCAAATCCAAAAACCGGTAAAATAATTGATTCGTTCTTTGAATCTACAATAATCTACAAATAAACTATGTATTAATCCGCATATAAACTAAATCCCACAATAATTAATACCTTCAAATCCTTGACTTCTTTCGGTAATGCTGTGTCCCTTTTATAACTTTCAAATGATCTAAAAACGGCTTTATGTTGACTGGTTTTTTCGTTTGATTTTTCACTGAACCTAGCAAGTCCATCTGCTTGCTTTCGAATTGCTAATTCTTCTTGATGTTTCTTACGCCTTTGGTCTTGTGACTCATCATCCTGATTCATTAAATATAAAGCCTTAACAAATATGATCTATATGTTACTATTGACATTTTACATCAAGTAATTACCTTTTCTTCGCTTCGGAATTTTGTTCTCAACACCGTACTCTTTCTATTAGTGTTTCTTTTGGTCTCTAAAGGCTTTTTTGGTTGTTCATTTTCTTTCTTTGCCTCATGATCACTCTCGTTACCATCCTTATAATAATTTTTCATGCAGGCATTGAATATAATCAATCAGCATTAATTAATTTGTATGTGAACATTGAATATAACCAATCAAGAAAATATTTTACTGCTCATGAGATAAACTTACTTTTAGAGAAAAGCAAATACTATCTAATGCCCTGTTTCCTTCTGTTAGTAGCTGAGAAGAACTATTGCTGACTTTGACAGTATCTATTACCCATAGCGAGTAACTATAAAACATGTGACCATTTTTACTAGATGTGTTAATAAAAAAAACGAATACAAGGATGTATGTTAATCTCTTACGTCTTGCTCTTTTCGTCTGTGGATTTGGGATTTTCAAGGTCTATAAATCCAATAAACAAATTTAACACCATGCCGGCTTTGAGATATTTGGTATTCCTTTGAGTCAAATTATACGCAGACTCTCTGAACTCAATTCCCATCTAAAAGGAAAATTATAATTATATTTAACGCTTAATTTAATTAATATCATGCCGTTATAAATCGATACATACTCCGTGTCCAAGGCTTTTAACAAATTTATCAGCAAGATCAGGACGTTTATTCTTAACAAAATTCATTACTCTTGAATATATATCACCGATCTTTTGCCCGTCCTTCAACAATTCTAATGTGCGTCTTTGTATATCCAAAAGAAACTCATAATTTTTTTCTTGTTCCTAACGACAACAAATGTCGAATTAATATAATAAAAATTAATTAAATTAGTAAGTAAGAACTACCTTAGTTGGATCTATCAAAATGGTTCTGCCAATATTCGAACAGTACGATTTGTATCGAACACCCAGGGAACAAAGAATCGTTCCATCATGCAATTTATCAGTATTGGATTGGGCAGAAGGTTTGAAATCGTAAACACCACCGCTTTGTATGATTGGAGCATAACACACGTCTGTCCGGTTAAAATCAACCTAATATTGTGCAAAGTTAGAATATAAAGACAAGTATAATAATCAATAAATTCTTAAGATTCTCACATCTTGAAGACTTTTTTGACTTGTGAGCCACTTTTCATCTTTAGTATATAACATATTTTCTATGTCTTCCGATAGTTGCTCATGTGATATTTCCTTTTCTTCGTCAATAACGGAAGATACCACATTAATGAACCGATACATCATCGCAGTACTTATTTTGCACGCCATTCGTGTTGTTTTCTAAAAGAAATAAATTATTACTTAAATGACAAGCAAACATCCTACAAACAGAAAATAGCGTACCAGTTCATCATCATCTTTTACAGCTAAGACGGCAGCTATTCCTGAAGCGATATCCACTTCCTCAAAATTTGTTTTGAAATTTTTATAAACATTTTGCCATTCTTGGACGAAACTTCCTGATGTCTTATCTTTCAATAATAATCCAACGCGTTTCTGTTGATAATAATAGTAAGCTATTTAATTAAATCACGTATTAATACAGCTACCTATTCGCACCTGTTCTCCTTCAGAAATCTTCGAAATAATTTGTTCAAAAAGAGTTTGATTATGTGATGGATCTTTACTTCGCTTATGAATTTCAATAGGAACTTGTCGATCTCCTTGTCGCAGCTGTTCAAAGACTTCGGCTAATATAGAAACATATTCGTAAATGATCACAAATTCAATATGAAAACATTAGTTGATATATAGTGTACCTCTCTTTTCTTTTACTATGAAATGAATTTTATCTTGAGTAAAAAGGATTAGAGTGTCGGTGAATTCATAGCCTAAGAGCCATTGCTTTTAATGAACAAGGTATTAGTGTTTCGTCAATCGTTAGACCACAATTGCGGTTTCCGAATAGTATAACTACCTGAATCGCGGTAGATTTTTGATAAGGATATTCTTCCATGATTTCTCCCACTACAACAAGAATTGAATTTACACCTTGAAAAAGCTCGCCGTTTGCTTCCTTATTTTGCGATGACTAAAATAAAGCGGTTTTTTCATAAAATAAGGTTGTATGACAAAAAAAGTTGAAGTTTGAGCATTGCGAAAATTTTACGCGCTTTTTTGAAAGTACCTCAAATCTTGCGTTAAAATTTGCAAGTTTGAGGTGTTTTTTACTTACCCTCCAAATTGAAAGGAAATGTTTCGCTCTCTTATGAAAGACATCCGCGTCTAGTCGAATTTCCATTTTATCTTCAGGCATTTTTGTAAAAGTAGTATTTTTGAACGTTCAACTTGATATTGCGAAACATTTACGTTTGCGTTTCCTATTTATAATATATCTGTATCGCGTGATTAGTCAGATGTTCAAAACTGCATGCCGGAGTTTTGCACTCAATATAGGACCCAATGCGATTTCCGAATACTTAACGTTAACTTTTGATAATTTCGATTTCGATTTCGTAATATATGGGGTACACCAAATTTAACGAAATTTTCCACTTAACAAAAGCTTAATTTAAAAAATTTTTTTTTACTTTGAATACAGTAAATACAATTAGAACCGCATTTTCTTTTAAGTAAATTTTTTACAACTTTAAAGAATAATTAAAATAATTAAATTTAATTAAGCTTAAAAAAAATTGTTACAGAATATTTTTACTAATTTACAGTATTTCTATATTTTATTTATTTGAATACTACGTATACAGCATCAATAATTATAAAATGCGCCTATAGTGTTATATAATTTTTTATTAAAAAAGATAATATAATGTATAAAAAGGTCTCGATTTTAGTTCTCGCGAGGTTTTAGGGGTCCTGAACATTTTTGCTTAGAACCCAGACCAGGGACACGGAAAAATTTCGAGTATGTTTAGCAATATAACAAGCCTAATTTCTATTTTTGTCTAATAGACATGCCAGAGCAAAAAATATTTGTAAAACTTGCATATGTTTTTGTAAATAAGTATTTTAAATTTTACTAATACAAAAAATAGATTGCTATAGTACTAATAGTATAATTTTTTTTTTTTTTTTTTTCCTTTGATAACCTCGCACTAATTTATTAGAGTTTTTGTAATTTACAAAATTAACTATCTAATT